ACATCAAGGTCCTCACCCTATCATATCTGCCAACCCTTGCTGCTCTTCCGGAATCCATCTGTCTGCTGCCGGCGCTCTCCCACCTTTCTCTCGACCACTGCCCTCTATTCGCCAGCCTACCAGAAGAACTCTTCCAGTTGCCTGACCTAGATACGTTGCATCTGGACGAACTGGCTGCTCTCACCACACTTCCTGATTCGGTCGGTCAGCTGCCGGTTCACCAACTTTTGAAATCTCCAGCCCTCCGGACTCTCTCCATTCACAACTGCCCACGCCTATCCTCGCTCCCTGACAATATCGGTCAGTTTTCCGCTCTTCAGCAGCTGCATCTGATGTTTCTTGATCAGCTTACGGCCCTTCCGCATTCCCTGGGGTTGATTACGGTGATGAAGGAGTTGAGAGTTGTTGAGTGCCCTAATCTCGAGAACCTCCCCGAGTCCGTATCCGCCATGGGAGCTCTCAAAAGCCTCATTCTTGACGGCTGCTATGTTTCCAGCCTGCCCGGAGACATCGGGCAGCTCCATAACTTGGTTACACTGAAGCTGTTTTCCGTACGCCTTCTTCTCCTGCCTGACTCGTTCGGGCAGCTGGGGCAGCTGAAAGAGCTGACCATATACGAATGCTACGACCTATTCGAGCTTCTGTCACTGAATATCATGGTAAGTGCATCATATTCTGTAACTGTGCTAACTGGGGTGTAGAAGTAGTGTAGTAGTTGTTATTCAGTTTGAACACAGGGTAGGTGGGGCATTGGGAGGAACGCGAAGTTGGTACTATGGGGAATTGCAAGGCGCTGCGGGCACAATTCCAGGGCCCTCGGGAGACAGGAAATCTGGCACAAGGCCAATCCAAGGCCAAGGCGGCTCGAGCCCAACCCATCACGCTGAGCAACTCGCGACTGGGTGGCCTAGCATAAATTAGCCTACCCTAGCAAAGGACTCCTGTTCTCTCGTTTGTTTACCAGAGCATAGTGGACTTACGTTACCGTTCTAAGCTACTGCAGCAAGGTGACTAACGCCACTCTTGGTAGCCAGCAGTGGGAGCCTGAATCTCTCACAAACGAGAGAAAATGACCGCCGACATGGATCGCCATGATCTGCGCATGCAGCGTACGTACTCGCGGCGGGAGAGATCTCCGTCGCGAATGAGGCGCTCCAGGGAGCGTGGGAGGTCGCCGACACGCTCGCCACGACGGGCAGCGTATCGCGCGGATCCGGTGACGCCAACGGGCGTGCGACAGGAAGGAAGCGGGGAGGATCTGCGCATCAGATCGGAGCCTTCGAGGCGGCCCGCGACCAGCAATCCGTGGAATCTGGCGGAAGGCCAGCGCGGGGTGGATCAAGAGCGCCACGATGGCGATATGGAGATGGATGTCGCCAGCGAGCAGGGCGACGAGTATGGAGGGGAAGAACCCCAGCCTGCTCAAGGCGGTGGAGGACGTGACATCAGCAACAACGAAGAATCCCCCACTGCGCGGGGCGGCGGAAGGCGCACATGGCGCGACTGACGAGGAAGAATTCCCCACTGCGCGGGGCGGCGGGAGGCGTGAGGCGGCTGGCAGTGAAGAATCCCCCACTGCGCGGGGCGGCGAAAAGCGCGGCGCGACTGACGACGAAGGATCCCCCACGGCACGGGGCGGCGGAAGGCGCGCCGCAGCTAACAAGGAAGAGTATCCCATGACGCGGGGCGGCGGAAAGTGTGATATCGCTGATGACGGAGAGTCCCCCACGCGGGGCGGCGGAAGGCGTGACATCACCAACGTCGGGCAGGATTTCCCTGTTGCACGGGAAGGAAGAGAACAAGGGTACAAGAGAAGGGATGAAAGGGAGCGAGTCCGACGCGGCAAGGAGCGAGAGGATGACGAAGAAGACAGAGATGGGAAGCACTCACCTGCGAGAAGGCATGAAGAAATGGAGCGAAGGAGCGTCAGGGAAATGGAGCGCCAAACGGGGGCGCGGCGAGAAGAGGAAGAAGAAAGGAGGGCGTCAGCAGGAGTCTTCCGCTCACCTGAGCCAAGGCCAGGGTATGATCGCGGGCGGCGCATGGCGATGGGCGGAGGTCGGCAAGCAGATCGGGAAAAGCGGGAAGACAGGATGGACTACGAGGTGAGACGCCATCAGAGCCCGCCTGGGAAGGAGCGGGTACGCCACCAAGAAGGACGAGAAAGAGGCGGGGAAAGGCGATCACCGTACGGCTCCAGAGCAGAAGGAGGAAGTCAGCAGCGAAGGGAACAAGAGCGACATCGCCAGGAGCGCTCACCTGTGCAGAAAGTGGGAAGATGGGAGGATCTGGAAAGGTACAGGAGCCACCGTGAAGACGACCAGAAGAGAGGTTCGAGTCCAATCGGCACAGGGAGGCTGCGGCAATACGGGGAGGGATCAAGTGGGGCCAGAGCGGCTCGTGAGGGACTGGAGCGAGCACTGTACGGGACAAGTGCAGGAAGCAGAGGAGAAAAAGGAAAGCTGCGAGGGGCTGCTCTGTCAGAGCGGGGAGGCTCGGGAAATTGGGATTTAGGGAGATGGAACGCAACGGCAGCACCACGGGTGGAGGTGCCGGTGCGCTTCACGGGGAACGAGAGCACGGGACCAAGCCTCAAGAATTACCTGATGCAGATAAGCAACGTCAAGTACCGGTGTGATCGAAGCGGCATGGATCCCATAGATTTCTTTCTCAGCCTGCCAAATACACTGGGGGGGGAAGCAGAAACCCTATATCGCATGAAGATGGGGGAGTGGCTGAGAAGGGCAGATGAGGATGAAGAGGACCCGACGGTGCTGTTTCTGGATAGGCTGAGGAGGCAGTTCCCAGGGCACACAGCAGCACGCATCAAAGAATTCCAAGAGTTCAGGAGGAGGGATGAAGAATCCTTGCTGACGTATTATGGGCGGTTGATGAATCTGGCAGAAGACGTGGTCTGCACGGACAGCAGCATGATCATCAGTAAATTCCTGAATGGACTGGACAAGGGGTTGGCAGGGGGGCTGAGGATGAGGGTCTACGAACTAGGAGCGGATGCGACACCGGAGGAGGTGTTTGAGCTAGCAGAAAGAGTGGAGCTGGCACAGAGGAAGTATGAGGTGTACCTACCGAGGCCGACTGAGAAGAGGAATCCCGCTTGGGCAGCAGCAGCAGTACCAGAGACAGGGGGTAGGGAGGATAGCCGGGCAGAAAAGGGGGCTGAAACGCGCACCTGCCACCGATGCAAGCAGCCAGGACATCTGATGAGGAATTGCAGGAACTGCGACACCTGCGGGAAGCCGGGGCATCGACGCAGGGATTGCCCGGATGCACCAACATGTGAGGTTTGTGGGAAGCGAGGGCACAAGGGGAGAGACTGTTATCAACGCACAGGGGGGCCGAGGAGGACTCCAGAGGACATAGAAGGGCAGATAGGAAGGTTACAGGCGCAGCTGCAGGCAATGGGTGGGAAAAAGGAGAAGGAGGTAGGGTTATATGCCAGGGAGGAGGATGACGAGGCAGAAGTGATAGAGGAACCAGAGCCGGAGTATAATTTCATGGCGCTCCGCAGCAGAGAGGAGCTGGGCCTGCGCAGCGGGGGTAGGGATGGGAGGAAGGACCCCACAACCAAGGAAAGGGCCAGACCGAAACAGAGGCTAGAGGAGAAGGGTGAGGAAGGAGAGGAGCCAGCGAGGCATCCCAAAGATCGGCTAGCTAGTCAGGCAACGGTGCTGGTGGCAGAAGCAGGGGCAGTGGCAGTGGGCGGAGAGATAGCAAAAACAGCAATCTTGGACACAGGAGCACAAAGTGTGATGTTGGGGAAGCAGCTGGCACGAAAGCTGGGGCTGACGGAAACAGGGCAATACATAAAGCGAGGAATGCAGGTAATGACCGCGGAGGGAGGCGAGCCTAAGTGGCTGCCGTGTACTAGGGACCTGGTGGAGATAGTCCTGATGCCGGGAAAAGAGGAGCAGACTAGCATTCGGCTGCAATGTGGGATATCCGATTCAGAAGATTTCGATGTGCTGCTGGGAACAGACCTGATATGGGGCGTGGGGATGACAATCTGTACATGGAAGGAGAAAGTAAAGTTTCGGAAGCAGTACTGGGTGCGGGGGAGCAAAACGGGGGAGCTGCCGGTGCAATTCACTAAGCAGGAGCCAAAACGAGCGTACACGGCCGAGCAAGCAGATAGCGAAGGGAGAGGGAAGGCGGGCCTAGTGGGCGAAGCAGCGGTAGCGAATGCGTGGCAGGAACCAATCAGGCTGGTGGAGCTGTTCGGGGGAATAGGCGCAGGGTTGGCAGCGGTGCTCAGAGCGGGAGTAGCGGTGAAGGAGTGGATATACGTGGAGAAGGACGGACAGGTGAGGAAGATGGCTGAACAACATGCAAGGAGGCTGCAGAAAGAGCATCCAGAGCTACTAGAGGAGGCCGTGATAAGCAAAGCAATGTCAGGGACGCTGACCGACGTGAGGAACGTGACACGAGAAGTGGTGAGGGGCTGGGGGCAGGTGGACCTGCTGGTAGCAGGGTGGGAGTGCCAGGCCGTCTCGAGAGCAGGGAAAGGAAAGGGGTTAGAGGATCCAAGGGGAGCACTGCTCATCAATTTGCTGAGCATCATAGACTGGATCAAGGAAAGACAGGAGAAGGTGGTGTACCTGCTGGAGCACATAGATCTAGAGGGAGACTGCCGGGAACCAGTCAGAAAAATCCAAGAGTTAGTGACAAGGAAGCTGGGAAAGGGCGTGAGGTGTGATGCGGCCAGGCTGGGGGCACGGGCTCACCGTGTCAGAAGGTATTGGCAAAATGTCGTGACGGACGAACAACTGCAGAGGGAGCTGGATGGGATACGAAGGGACTGGAGCAGGACGGTGCAAGAGATATTAGAGCCAGGCAGGACAGCGGCGCCGGTAAGGAAAGGCAGGCACGAGACACAGTGCCCATGCAACAAGGTGGGGGCAGTACGCAGGGCTTGGCCGACACTGGTGGGGTACAAGGGGGCAGCCGGGTTCAGGGAGGAAGGAGGAGTGCCAGGAGAAGGCATGGTGTACGATCATAAGACAAAGCAGTGGGAGGAACCAACGGCACTGGAGCGGGAGCTGGCAATGGGGTATGGGGAAGACATAACGAAGGCAGCAGGGGTGACAGAACAGGAAAGGAGGAAGGCATTAGGACAGGCAATGGACGGACAGGTGATGCAGTGGCTGATGCGCCGAATGTGGAGAGGGCTGGTGCTGGAAGGGGAGCAGGAGCTGCGGAGCAAGAAGGAGGGAGTAAAAAGGGTGGGGGCATGGGCGTGTGTGGCAGCACAGGAAGAGCCAGCGTGGGTAGTGGGGAATGCAATGAGCAAACAGGGGAAGAAGGCAATGCAGGAGGTGCTGGCCAGGTACAGGCATGCCTTTGCATTCAACCTACAGGAGCTGGGAAAATGCACAGTGAGGGAGATGGAGCTGAAGCTGGTCACGGAGGAGCCAGTGTTTCAAAGGAAGCGGAGAATGACACCCGGGGATGAAGACATCTGCAAGGAAAAATGCAAAGAGTTGCTAGAAGCAGGGTTGATACAGAGATCAGAATCAGAGTACGCGACGCCGACAGTGGTAGCTGCACGAAAGGACCTGCTGGGGGAGGTGCTGAGTCGACGGATGTGTGGGGACTACCGAGCACTGAACAAAGTGACAGTGCCCGATAGGTACCCAATGCCGACAGCGGAGGATATTTTTGACCGACTGGGGGAGATCTTCAGCACGCTAGATTTGAGACAGGGCTTCAACCAGATCAAGATCAGAAAGGAGGACGTGCGGAAAACGGCATTCCATGGAGCAGACGGGCTGTACGAATGGCTGTTTATGCCATTCGGGCTGAGGAACGCGTCGGCCATCTTTCAGAGAGTAATGGACAGCGTGTTGCGGGGGCTGGAGTGTGCAGCATGTTACATAGATGACGTAGTGATATTCAGCAGGAGTGAGGAGGAGCATGTGCGAGACGTGGAGCGGACGCTGAAGGCGTTGGCGGCGGCAGGGCTGACCTGTCACCCAAAGAAGTGCAGGTGGGGGGAAGCAACGGTGCAGTACCTGGGGTATGAGGTGAGGGGCGGACAGATAGGGATTCAGCGGGCAAAGGTGGAGGTGCTGAACAGGCTGCAGCAGCCGAAGGACAGAAGCGGGCTGCGAGCGGTGCTCGGTTTTCTGAGTTACTACCGAAGGTTTGTCCCCAATTTCAGCAAGCGCGCGGCACCGCTGAACGGGCTACTGAGGGAGGACAAAAGGTGGGAGTGGGGGACAGAGCAAGAAGCGGCATTGCGAGACTTGATGGAGGCGGTACAGACAGCAACGATTCTGCAGCTGCCCAAGGCCGACAAGCCATTCTGCCTATACACTGACTGGAGCAGCCAAGGCATGGGGGCAATCCTGTGCCAAGAGCTGGATGGAGAGGAAAGGGTGGTGGCTTACGCGAGTAGGAGCTGTAACCCAGCAGAGGCCAAGTACAGCTCTTATCATGGGGAAGGGCTGGCTGCTGTGTGGGCCGTGAAGCACTTCAGAGTGTACCTGCAAGGGAGGGAATTCACATTGATCACAGATCATCAGCCGTTGCAGTGGCTGATGACCCACCAAGGGCTGACAGGGAGAAACGCGCGGTGGGCCGTGAACCTGCAGGAATATGACTTCAAAATACGCCACAGACCAGGAAAGACATTGCAGCACGTGGACGGGCTCTCAAGGAACCCGCCCGCAGCCGAGCCCGTGCACGCGCTGATGCTGCTCGCTAGGCAAGGGGAGGAGGCAGCAGCAGAAAAGCAAGGAAAGAGGGGGCCACAGGACATATGGGAGGATCCCACGGCCCTGCGGTGGATTAAAGGGGAGACAGAGGAGAACGAGCAGGTGACAGATAGGGTGAGGGCACGAGGGCATCACTACCGATGGTACCAAGGACAGCTGCAGCTGCAGTCCGTGGATGGGTGGAAGTTGGTGCCTGCGCCGCAGGAGAGGGAAGGGGTGATCGAGGAGGTACATAGGAAGCTGGGACACTTTGGGCATGAACGCACAACGCAGCTGCTCAAGACCGGCTGGTGGTGGGAAGGGATGAGGAAGCAAGTCCGAGAGTGGGTCAGTGGCTGTGAAGGCTGCCAGAGAAGCAAGGCCAGCTTGACACAGGCAAAGCAGGAGCTGCATTCACTGCCAATAAGGGGGTTGGGGTTTCGGTGGTCTCTGGACATAGCCGGCGAGCTGCCACTGAGCAGGGGCGGAAAGCGATACATCCTACTCATGGTTGAGCATGCAAGCAAGTGGTTAGAAGTGTGTGCATTGCCGAGCAAGGACTCTAGACTGGTGGCGAGGGCATTCAAGGGACAGGTGCTGTGCAGATTTGGGGCACCAGGGGAAGTCCTCACAGATCAGGGCACGGAGTTCAAGGGGGAGTTTCAGGCGCTGCTGGATGAGGCAAAGGTGACACACAGGCAGACATCAAGGTACCATCCTCAGAGCGACGGGCTGACTGAACGGCTAGTGCAGACCCTGAAGCGGAACCTGAGGGCGTACGGAGAGAAGCGGAAGAGAGACTGGGATGAAGAGCTAGACTGGGTGGCGGCGAGGTACAGATTCGGGAAGCAGGCGTCACTGAAGGACTACTCCCCGTATAGCCTGCTGTACGGAAAGGAACCAATACTGCCTGTGGGAGCGCCAAGGGTACTGACGGGGGTGGTGAGCGTGAAGGGAGCAGACCAGTGGGTGGCGCTGGCAGAAGCACGAGCACGATACATGCGGGAAATGCTCTCGGCAGCCCTAGAGAACTTGCACACGGCACAGCTGAGAGATGCCCACAGGTATGAGCAACGACAACAGCAAGGGGGCAGGAAGGCGAAGCCAGCAGTGACGGAGGGGCAGGAAGTGTACCTGCGCAGGGCAAAGAAAGACACCTTGGATGTAGGGTTGGGGACAGAGAGGTGGAAGGTTAAAGAGGTGAGGGGGTCAGGGGTGCTGGTGCTGGAGAATGAGAAGGGTGAGCGGACAGTGGATCACCAGACGAACGCAGCGGCAGTGAAGGAGAGACGGCCTCAGCAAGAGGGTCCTGTGACACGTGCACGGGCAGCCCGAGCACGAGTACAGGAGGGGGCAGGGAATGGCTGAGGAAGGAAGTACTATGCAGGGCGGAAAGGGGGAGAAAGGGACTGAGAACAGTAAGGCAGGAATAAGGGGAGCAGGCAATACAGGGGCAAGTAGCAGGTGAAAGGCAGGAAGGGAAGGGACGCCGACAGCTGTCACTGAATATCATGGTAAGTGCATCATATTCTGTAACTGTGCTAACTGGGGTGTAGAAGTAGTGTAGTAGTTGTTATTCAGTTTGAACACAGGGTAGGTGGGGCATTGGGAGGAACGCGAAGTTGGTACTATGGGGAATTGCAAGGCGCTGCGGGCACAATTCCAGGGCCCTCGGGAGACAGGAAATCTGGCACAAGGCCAATCCAAGGCCAAGGCGGCTCGAGCCCAACCCATCACGCTGAGCAACTCGCGACTGGGTGGCCTAGCATAAATTAGCCTACCCTAGCAAAGGACTCCTGTTCTCTCGTTTGTTTACCAGAGCATAGTGGACTTACGTTACCGTTCTAAGCTACTGCAGCAAGGTGACTAACGCCACTCTTGGTAGCCAGCAGTGGGAGCCTGAATCTCTCAATGGGAATGGCTGAGGAAGGAAGTACTATGCAGGGCGGAAAGGGGGAGAAAGGGACTGAGAACAGTAAGGCAGGAATAAGGGGAGCAGGCAATACAGGGGCAAGTAGCAGGTGAAAGGCAGGAAGGGAAGGGACGCCGAGACTTCCTGCATCCTTCACCAACCTCTCTTCACTGGAATCGCTACTTATCTATGGTGGATCCTCGCTCACATACCTGCCTCTGGGTTTCGAGAGGCTGTCGAAGCTACGTCGACTGGAGCTGCTAAACTGCGCCATGCTGTACCTCCCTGATACGTTCGGGGAGCTCCCAAATTTGGAAATTCTCAAAATTCAAACTTCGGACACGTACAAAAGAGTCGGCGTTAGCTATGAACCTGCCCCACGGCCCGCTCATCTGGGGTATCAGAGCGAAGGCGAGGAATTCGAATTGGACGGATCCTGCTCCCTGCTTGAATTTCCCCCCTCCTTCAGCCTGTTCACGCGCCTGGAGCAGCTGATCATTGATGGGTGTGAGATGCTGGACAGGCTTCCAAGTGGTATGGCCAATCTGAGCAGCCTCAAGGTCCTGAAAGTGGAGAATTGCAAGCGGCTGAAGGTCTTTCCGTCCTTCTTGCCCCCTGCTGGGACTGATGGCCAAGCTTCTGGATCCTGTGCTCCTGCTGTCACCTCCTCTGCTGCTACCTCCTCTGCTGCCACCTCACCTCTGTCAGGATTGAGAGGAATGGATGATCGATTAGGTTAGGGGAGGGGGTACAAGAGAGTGTCGAGAGAATAGAAGTACCCTCTAAGAAACACCCCTACACAACCTAGAACTAAATTATAACAAACATATAATTTGACACACCCCCATAGGTGAAGTAGGGGTGACAGCCAAACCTAACAGTGGTCACAAGACCAGTCAAACAGAAGAGCAAACAAGACAAAGCTCAGGGTGGATCTCAAGGACACCACACAGTCTGAGCACAAGCAGGTGGCCACAAGGCCAGTTCACATGCAGGTTTATAACAAAGCAAGAGATACAGTGATCACAACCTAGCAAGAGTAAACATGCAGGTATATATATATAGTGATCACAGTACAAGCAGGGTCAAGAAGTAAGCAAGTGAGGTCCAGTAGGTACAAGGCCTAGCAGAGTGCAGAAACGCTGATGGTCACAAGGCTGAAGCGCCTTGGTGAACACATCAGCAGTGTTGGCCTCAGTGGCCACGTAACGCAGACGAAGCTGACCACGCTGCTGCAGCTCTCGAGCAAGGAAGTACCGCAGGGCGATGTGCTTCGTTCTGTGCTCCAGTCTGTGCTCCTCACACAAGGCAATAGCAGCCTGGTTGTCGACGTACAGCACTGGAGGAGAACGAGGCCTCTCTCCCAAGTCGGTCAGCAGGTAGGTCAGCCAGCGAAGCTCCTGGGCAGCCATGGCTGTGGCGTAGATCTCAGCCTCGCAACTGGAGCTGAGAACAGAAGAAGAACGCGTAGAGCGCCAAGAGACAGAGCCAGAGCCAAGGCTGAAAGTGTAACCCTGAGACGACCGCTGAGTAGCCTGGTCGTCTGCCCAAGAAGCGTCTGAGTGTCCAGTGAGCACAACTCGGTCTCGCCCTCCAAGCACTAGCCCCATGCCCGACGTACTGCACAAGTAGCGCAACACCCTCTTAGCAGCATCCATGTGCTCCTTCCTGTGACGGCCAGGAGCGACATAGCGTGCAAGGATGCTAAGAGGGTATGCAAGGTCAGGTCGAGTGCAGGTCATCAGGTACATGAGGCAGCCCACAAGCTCTGGATACGGGCCACTCGGCTCTACGGACTCATCCGAAGGCAGAGCTGAGAGCGAGTGACCGGTAGGCAGAGGAGTGGACTGAGGCGAGGAGTACGTGAAGCGGAAGCGCTGGAGAACCTGCTGCACCATGTGTGACTGAGTCAGGGTGATGGTGCGCCGTGCTCTGTCCCGGGTGATCCGCAAGCCAAGATAGCTTGTCAGCTCACCCAAGTCTGTGCACGTGTGTCTCCTCTGCAGCTCCGACTTCACGTAGGCGAGTCCTGCAGTGTCAGCAGTGGCAAAGACCAAGTCGTCGACGTACACGAGGATGTAGAAAGGCGGCAGCGAAGTGTCGGTGCGCAGAAACAGCGACGGGTCAGCTGTAGAGGGCGCAAACCCAAGAGCCGCAAGTGTAGTCCTCAGTGTGTCGTGCCACTCACGTGGAGCCTGGCGGAGACCGTAGACCGGCCGCTGAAGCCTCCACTTGGTACCAGGAGGAAACGACCCAGTGAAGCCAGGGGGGCGGCGCAGCCAGATCTCCTCGTGCAGGCTGCCCTGCAAGAAAGCCGTGCTGAAGTCAAGTGAGTGAAGCTTGTAGTCGCGCTGAGCGGCTATGTGCAGCAGCACCTGAAGAGTGGTCATCTTCGGGGTGGGGGAGAAGGTCTGAAAGAAGTCTACTCCCTCTCGCTGACTGAAGCCTCGAGCCACGTAGCGCGCCTTGAAGACAGGCGGAGAACCCGGCGGCCGCTTCACCCTGAAAATTCACATGCCACTGACGATGTTCGCCCCAGGTGGGGGAACCTCGTCGACGTAGGTGCGTGTGGACTTCCAGGAAGCCATCTCTGCGTCCATGGCTGTCTGCCACTGAGAGGAGTAGGGACCCGCCATCGCCTCAGCGTAAGTGCACGGGGTCGGGATGTCTGGTGCATCCGGGTCTCCCTCAGGGGCGACTAGCATGGACACGAGATGGGGCAAAGCAGCAGCAAAGCACTGGAACTCCTCCTGTCTGTCCTCAAGAACGTCCGTGCCAAGAGCACACCCACCCCCGACGGACGGAGGACAGGCAGACTCAGACTCAGACTCAGACGCAGACTCAGCAACTAGGCTAGTAGCGTAGTCTAGGCGACACCGAGCAGCAAAGTCAACCAACTCAGCAACCAGAGCAGACGCAGCAGCAGACTCAAAAGACGGGTCAGTGACGACTGTGGCGAGGAGACGCGTGACAGTGGG